ACCAGCCAATTGGGTTCCTGATGAGAGCCCTTGGCCAGGTCATATACCCTCATAGACTGGGGTGGGAAGCAAGCTCTCTCTTGTCTCTTACTAGGGCACTAATCCCATCACGAAGGCCCCAGGCTCATGACCTAATTACCTCCCTAGTCCCCATCTCCAAATACCATCACGTTGAGGGTTAGAGTTTCAACACACGAATCTGAGGGGGGACACAAACATTCGGTCCATAGCATCCATTTTGTAGTACACAACAAAATCTCCTTTGAAGACTTCCCATGGCCCACAAGATAAAATCCAAAATTTTAACGTAACCTGTAAGGCTGTGACAGATCTGCCCCTGGCTTCCTTCTTAGCCTTGCCCTTCCTCATGTCCTCCCTGCGTCCTCTGTCCCTACGAGGCTGCCTTCTTTGTACTCTCCCAGGTCTTCCCCCAGACTGCTTCCTCTGCCAGAAATCTTTGTGCCACACTCCCGTCTCCCCTCCTCTCCTTGGTCAGTCCTTTCTAATCCGCCGGGTCCAGGCTACTTCTCTGGGAACTGCCACAAGTGTGGGGGATTCGCTGCTGTGCTCTCTCATAGCTCCCTGTGTTTTTAATTCCCTCAGGACTCGTCACAAGTCTTTGTGTGATGTTTGTCTTTTCCACCGGACTTAGAGGCTCATGGGGGCCAGGACTGCACCTGTCTTGTTCACGAAGGTACTGCCAGCATCCAGCAGTGTCTGGAACAAAGTGAGTGCTCGATAATGTGGGCATGAACAAAGGCGCTCCTCCTTGAAGAGTGAGTTTAGATACCCAGAACTGGGACAGAAGCTCAAGACCCCACCCCCCACCCCCAGCAGGTACCAGCAGGGAGGTCAGAGGTGATTCAGACTTGAGGGGAAGGGAACTCTGTTTCTAGCACCAACAGGGCCATGGCTTTTCTTGGGAGCAGGGCCATCACACCCAGGCCGACTTGGGAGAAGATGGCACACTCAGACAGGGTACTTAACCTTCTCCCCAGTCAGGAAGTGACTGGCCCAAGGTCTCCAGCCATGGGGGTGAACATCGAGTCTGGCCCTTTCACACTGCAGCTATTGCCTCCAACCTCGGGAAGAAAAGGTCAAGACAGGAAGTTGTAGGACTGACACAGTGTGGTGACAAACTATGACGAGGATCTGAAGGTTCAGGTTTGTGAGACCTTGAGCAAATCGTCTCCCCTCTCCGCTCTTTATTTTCACCATCTGTAAGCAGACTCTGAGGTAGACATTTGCATACAGGAGGTTTACTGGGGACCAAAACCACAGGGCAGAGGGCAGCGAGACAGGGCTGTGCACGCCTGCAGCATCGGCCTCATAAAGGGACCCCTAGAAGTGGGCCGTCCTTCAGAGCCATTGCCGATGGAAGCATGTGGCCAGGCCTTGTATCCACCTCTCCCATCCGCTAGTTGTTGAAGGCAGACTAGAATGGCTGGAGGGGGCATAACCGACAGCCAGAGGTGGCTCCCTTCAGTCCAGGGCAGTTCCCAGAGAGGGACTCTGCTGAGGTCCCACAGCTACCCACACTCCCAATGGGGTTGGGGGGCAGGATGAAATGAGGGCCGCAGTGTGGGTTGCCCAAGACGGCATCCATTACGGAGGAATGCAGATGAGTTTTCTAACTCTTCCGTGGAGCTCCCAGCTCCCAAGAAGGTACAGTGGGTAAGAAACTGCTCTTCTTGGGTGTGTTTTAGTTTCTGCAAAGGTCCAACATATTTCCTCGGAAGAAAAAGCCCAGCTGCCAGTTTGTAAATGCTCCTGTAGCACCTCCTGGTTCTCCTTTAAGGTCCTGATCATACTTATAATTTAAGTAATTAGTTGTACTGATTTCCTGATCGGTCTCTCCCACTAGACAATAAATCCCCAAAGGGCAGGAACCAGTCCTGTCTTATCCACTGTTCTGTGTCCAGTGAATGTACCCACTAGATGCACATTATGTTAGATGAAATCCGGCCCTCTGCAGCGGGACACCAGGAGAGTTGCTCAAGATGCAAATTTCTCAGCTCTCCCTCCAAACACTGGTCCTCTCAGAGGTTCCAAGGCACAAAAAGTTCAAGAACCACTTCATTCCCCTTGTCCCAGGGCTCTGGTGAATGTTTGCAACCTGCTGGAGGAGACTCACCCAGATCCCGTCTCTACCTACTCTCTCAGTCTTCCAAAGGCAAACAATGAGTCAAGCCATTGGCAACCGTGGACAAACTGCAACCCGGGTAGATGTGCCCAGATCCTGGATTGCAGGATGTAGAAGTCTAAAACAGATTCATTGGATCCAATATGGAGCCCAGCGTTTTCAATTGCACATGCAAATTAACTTGAGTAGGATTAAAAAAAATTTTTTTTAATGTTTATTTATTTATTTTGAGAGAGAGAGAGAGAATGGGGGGTAGGGGCAGAGAGAGAAGGAAAGAATCCCAAGCAAGTTCCATGCTGTCAGCGCAGAGCCCAACGTGGAGCTTGAGCCCACGAACCATGAAATCATGACCTGAGCAGAAACCAAGAGTTGGACACTTAGCCAACTGAACCACCCAGGTGTCCCAACTTGAGTGGGGTTTCTCAAAATGCAGATTGAGGGCCTCGGAGGTTTGGGGACAGAGCAATGATCTGGAATCAAAGTGACAACGGTTCAAATCCTAAGTTGGGTGATGTTGGGCAGATATCTAAATACTGAATGGCTCACTAGGGCTGGTTGCCAGGCACCTGAACTGTGCTAGGTATTTTGCATGCATTATCTGATCCACACAACCTTCCTGTGCCCATAAGGTAGAGAATTGAATTTGCTTGTGGTTGAGATAGATATTAAATATGAAAGTTGGAATTCGAACCTGGGTGTAACTGTTGGGTTGGTGTTTCATAGACTCTGACTTGAGGTTCCTTTCCCACATCTGTAAAATGGGAACACCACTCCTTGCTCACAGGGTTGTGAAGCTTGAGATAGTAAATTTGAAAACATTTGACAAAAGTCATTCAATAATGCTACCTGAGAAAGAACTGAAAACGTTTTGCCTGTTTTTAGGGCAGAGAAAACTTGAGGCCCAATGAAATTAATCAACTCTCCCCCAACCTGGGGATGAGAAGTGACCAAGTCAAGACCAGAATCCAAGTTTCGTATTCCACATCTGATTTGTTCTCTCACTACCTTCCTAGATGACTGAGAAGGAAGGACAAGTATATAGAATGCCACAAAAATGAAAAGGGTCAAGGGAAAATGAAACACGGAATTAATCAGGAGAGGCTTCTTGGAGGACACCGAGTTTTCATTTTATGACAGCAGTGTTTAGAGGAAGTGGGAGGCCAACAGAAGAGGTGTTAGTTCTTAGTCATGATGTGCTCTCCTTGATAAGCTTACTAGATAGAGTTCCTGGTGCCCAGAGAAGCTAAGAAGCACGACCAAGATCACACAGCGACTAAACGGCCCTGGCACAATGTGGAGGTCACATCTAACTAACATCTGTTTCTGTCTCCTTGGTGCTGAAGTGAGGAGAAGCAGATAAACATACGGTTGGGCAGGGGACAAGGGGTCCCCAGAGATGCTCACACAACCTCCCTCTTGCTACAGTGGGGAGACCCAGAGTGGGAAAAGCAGCAAGGTGAAATGCTGAGGCCTTAGGGTCGACCAGACTCTGGCTGGAATCCTAGATCCACTATTGACTACCTATGTGGTAGGTACACTTTACCTCTGGGTCTAAATTTTCTCGCAGATTCAGAAAAATGGCCTCCAAGTCCAGGCCAGGGTTAGTGAGAAAAATAACATGGCCATTATTATTCCACAATGCCAGGCCAGCCACAGATGGGAGGCAGGGCTGGGCACCCAAGGGACAGAACAGACTTTTAATGCCAACCACCCCCAACCCTGCAGTCACTGGGCACAAGTGCCGGGCAGCGTAGGGATGAGCAGGTCAGTCCCATGATGCAATCACAGCTCCCTGCTTATGCTGAGATGAACCATGACCCTTGGAAATAGAAAAACAGCCCATTAACAAGAAGTACAAAACAAAACCTCGGTGAACTTTTATTTCTCAGCATACAGAACTGGTAGCAAAGCCAAAGATTTCTGCATTTGAACGCTAGGATACCCCTCCCGACCCACCCAGGGGACATTTACAGAGTCATGACGTCCCTCCTAGAAGCCGAACCCCAATGCTGGGGCCTCTTCCCTCCTGCTCAGCTTCATTGCACAGAGGGCCTGAGGCCTGAAGGGGGTGCCAGCCGCTTCCCCATGCCTGCACGGGTATGAAATGTGGCACGCTGACCGGGCTCCTCTTCTGTCCCTCTTCAGAGAGGAGGGTCAGAAGCAGCAGCATCGTGACCCTTGCCTTTCTTCAGTCACCAAACTGGTCAGAGAGCAGGCACATCGTGCCACAAGAAAGGCAAGGGACGTCATAATTCACAGCTTATTTGCTACAGAAAGTGCCTGGGATCGGTCCTTGGCTGCTTCTGCCTCCGAGCAATCCACTTAAATCCAGGAAGGGACAGGAACTGGGATGGGGGGTGGGGTGGGGGGGAGGTGTCCTTGGAAGGTGGCCAGGAGAGACTGACTGCCAGGGCGGGGCGTCCCTAGAGGCCTTTGAGATTCTGCAAGATTTGCAGTTCGCAGCTGGCAGGCTGGCCTGAGAAGCCCAGAGGAGACTCAGACATCACATACAGTCTCAGCCTTCAGTCTGCGACTGCGACTGTAAAAACGGAGGTCAAAGATGTTTGGCAACGTAGCCCTGGTCACCTGACCAGTTTGGGCAGGGCCCAAACTAGACCCTGGGGTCTCCTGACTCTCCCCCTGAGCCCATTCCTCCTCAGCCACCTAGGAAGGCTCACTTGTTGGGAAATGTCTGTGGCACAGCCGTGGGAGATAGGAGAGTGGGGTGCTGGCCTCTGTAGGGCAGGTCCAGTCCCGGGCAAGGACAAGAAGGACAAGAAGGACAAGTCCTTGTCCTTCTCCTCAGGCATTGACTGTGGCTAGAGAAGTGAGGCCCCCAAGAACCTCACCCATAAAGAACCAAAAATACAGAGAATTTATAATACTCCCTCCTCTTCAGAAGTCAGAGGGACCCACAGACACCCCAAGCTCCCTAGAGATAATCTACTTTTTTGACGTGCTTGATCTCTCTTCTGGGGCCTCACACCATCAGGCATGGGAAAAAAAGAGTCAGGGGGTGAAGGAAGTCAAAGGTGCTAAACTAGGATCAGGGCAACTAGGGAACAGGGGGCCTTCAGGCTGCCCAACAGAACAGGCTTCTGGGGAGCCGAACACACAGACCAGCTGTGACACTGACTTTCACATTGATGGGTGAATGGCGGGTGGGAGGTAATGAAATCTGGGAGTGAGGGAGGAGGAGGAGGAGGAGAAAGGGCACAACTGCTTGGAGTGTCAGTCCCTGCAGGTGTCCGCTCCTCTCCTTCAGGGGCAGGCAGGGACTTCCCAGTCCAGGAAGGCCACAGTACTTGTGATGCCTGCGGCCCAGCCTGCTGGCACGCGAGTCTGAGCTCAGCTCATTTCCTTCCGGTGCCCTCCGCCTCTGGGGTCAGGGGCAGGAAGAGGGGCATGGTCCCTTGTGATCTGCTAGGCCTCCTCTTCCAGCTCCCGAGGGCAGAGCTGAGATCTCTGCAGAGATCTCTGCTGAGGTCAATGCAATGATCCTGGCCGTTCTGGTGAGAAAAAAGGAGGGTACGGCTCAGGGGCTACAAGTCACACACAAGCCCACCTCCGGAGTAGGGGAGGGGGGGCTGGGACAGAAAAGGATCGGGGTCTGTCTCCAGAAAGAGAAGTCCTTGCAGGGAGGAGGATGCCCCCAGGGTCAGCTGCTCCGGGCCCAGATCCTGCTCGCAGTCAGGTCATGTAGCGGGTGATGGCACGGAGGGCGTAGAGAAGGGCAGCCTGCATGCGGGCCTCCAGGAGCAGCAAGTTCACGTGGACCTGGGGCACAGACAAGGGCTTGTTGGCAACTGGTGTCACTCCTCTCCATCCCCATCCCCCCCAGACTGCCACTTCCCCTGACCAGTCACCACTCACCTCATCCATCTCTCCCATGAAGACGCCCTTACCTTTCCGAAGGCTCGGAGCAGTTGGGGACAACGACTGCCGAAGAATTTCTAGCACATTTATCCTTATCCCCACTGATCTCTCTATCCCCCAAAGCTAAAAACAAGCGCCACCCCCGGGCATTCGTTTTCTCGTTTCATCCCCGCCGCCCCCCCCCCACCCCCCCGCCAGCGACCTTGAAATGGGGGCAGCATTTGCTCTCACTGTAAAGAGAACAAGCTCAGAGGGGCAAAGTGACTTGCCCAAGGTCACAATGCTGAGTGACAATGTTAGGATTTGAACCTAGGTCCTCCTGGCTGCCACTGAGGACCCCGTGACGCACGTTCCCATTTTATAGGTGAGTAAATGTGAAAATCACACACTAGAGTAGGACTTGAACCCAGGTGTCCCAACTGGCAGAAGACTCCATCTGGGATACCTCGTTGGGTGCTGACTCCCCCTTCCCCCGTGGGCTGTACCTTCTCTGAGTGGCGGAAGTGCCTCCAGAAGAGGTTGTACATTCTTCGGGTGGTCTTCTCTGGGTAGCAGGCCACCGTCTTGATATAGACCTTGAGGTTCCGTTCCAGGAGCTGGTTCACCTCCCCGTAGTCATAGTCATCATATCTGGATGGAAAGACCCCAACAGCATCACCCATCCTCTGCTCCCAGAAGTTGACTCTTGTCCCCCTAACCCCACCCTTCAGAAGGAGGAACAGCGTGTGGCAAGAAAAGGCAGAATGTAGGAAGCGGGTAGAAGTTTGGTTCCTCTTAGAAAAGTAGCTGATGTCCCACATCACAGGCCACTGCTAGACTGGCAGGGGACCTCTCCAAAGATTGCAGAGAATTAGCCATGAGCTGCATGAACATGTGCTCACGGAATCCTCAAAACTACTATATATGCTGTCTGTAGAACTATTGTATATAATACGCCAGATTCATCAGCCCCATTTTATAGCTGAAATGGAGATTCTGGCAAGTGAAGTCACTTGTCCTGGGAATGGCATTCAAACCCATCTCTGCCTGGCTCCAAGGTCACTATAGTAAAGGCCATGGAAGAAGGGGCAGGAGGCCTGTACAAGTATTTTCCCTGGAGAAGGAAGAGGCAAAGCGAAAAAGAAATGGTATTCTTTTTTACAGACGGGCAAACTAAGCCTGGAGAAGCCGATCAACGTGTTCAAAGTCAAAGAGCAAGTTGGTGACCTGTCTAGATGCCACTTTGTCACTCCCTAGTCCAGGGAGCCAGTTAGTCATCACCGATTGGTGTGGATGGGGAAGACTGGTTGAGAACCGGAGGACAGACTCTGTAGACAAAGGCATAGGAGCAAGGACCTTGTTGGAGAATGGGGGAGCCCGGATGTGGGAGCTGGACAGGAATTAGTCTGTGCCACACTCAAAGATGTCTGTCTCTCCTCTACCTCCCCTGAACTGGAAGTCAGTCAATGACCGGCAAGAGGATGCCCAGTTAAGTACAACTCAATCCACTCAATCAAATATGATTTAAACTAGCAACATGCATTTTCTACAAGGAACACGTGCCTTTTTAAAAATGTGGGGATTTTTTTTGTTGTTGTTGATGTGATGCTTGGAATAAACCATTAAATGAGAAAAGCAAGATCATGTGTTCACTAAAATATGCACACATTTGATTAAGTGAGTAAAATCAGTGAAGTGAGTAGGAAGAAAATCTTATGTTTGTAGAATGATATGTTTTTGTTTATTTGTGGGTGGGAAGACAGAAAAGAAATACTTGACAATAATAAGAGCAGGTGGGATCGTGGATGATCTTTATTTTCTCCTTTTTGTTATCTCTGTTTTCTAAATTTACTCTAAATCCAGTTGTTTCTCCTTACAAACATCAAACACATATTTGAAAAAATATAATAACCGTTATAATTCCAATTACACAAAAGCAACTATGTTAGAAAGAAGAAAAACAATGGAGAAAGAATGTCACAGGATGTGAATGTGGGTTGTGGAGTAGCTGAATTTGGGGAAATTGGTTTTTTTCCCTTAATTCTTTGAATTTCCCACAATGTTATCAGAGTGAGATTAAAAACAAAATTGGGGGCACCTGGGTGGCTCAGTCAGTTAAGCGTCAGACTTCAGCTCAAGTCATGATCTTGTGATTTGTGGGTTTGAGCCCCCATGGGGCTCTTTCTTGTCGGCCTCTTTCTCTGCCCCTCCCCTGCTCACTCTCTCAAAAATAAATACACATTAAAAAAAAATTGATCTGTGTATATCCTTGACAGGTAATTTCATACCTACGGCTCACCCGCAAGGACTTAGGTGTTAAGGCTAGTCAGTGCACGTGGTATTTGCAATAGTGAAAAACTGTAACCTATCCACACATCCAACAATAGGGAAATGATCGAATTATGCTACATCCATAACAAAATACCATGCAGTGGTGAAAAAGCATAAATAAAAGACCCATTCATACTGACAAGGAAGGCAGTTAACAATAAATTACTGAGTGAAAAAATATCAAGCATGATTCTATCAATTAAAAAAAAAAATCTACTTTTAATCAGAGGGGCGCCTGAGTGGCTCAGTCAGTTAGGCATCTGACTCTGGATTTCAGCTCAGCTCATGATCTCACGGTTCGTGAGTCTGAGCCCCACATTGGGCTCTATACTGACAGCGCAGAGCCTACCTGGAATTTTCTCCCTCTCTCTGCCCCTCCTGTGCTCTCTCTCTCTTTCTCTCTCCCCCAAAATAAATAAAGTTAAATTTTTTTTTCTTAATCAGAAAATACTTAGGTAACAAGATGAAATGTAATTAATCACATACTATGCAGAGACAACCATTATTAATTAACATTTTAGTGTATAACCTTCCACACACTTCCCACGCATGCACATATTTTTAATAAAAAAAAAAAAAAAAAGAGGGGGCACAAAAAGATTCTGGTTGGTAACCAGCTTTCTCTTTTCTCAATCCATTTTGAATAATTTCCCATAGCAATATAAAGAGGTCATTATAATTTGTAATACCTGCAGACTTTTTCACTGGGTGGATATAACGTTATTTAGAGTCCCATACTGATGGGCATTTATGTTGTCCTTATTTATTGCTAAGAGAAGAACTCCTACTTGGAATGGAAATACACCCAGTCTCTCTCTATATCTCTATAGTTATCTCTAGGAGGTGGGATTAAAGAGTTTTGTTTATAAGGTTCAAACAGTGAGCATACTATCTTTTATAATCAGCAATGAAATAAATTTGTGTTGAAAAAATAGTATAGGCAGGAAGAAGGGAAAAGAAACAAAGAGAAAAGGAAACAGCTGTGAGCTCAGATTGAGGACTTGTAGTGCACATAGGCCTGGATGAGGGAATATATTGCTCACCTGATACCAAAGACACAGTGGATGTAATTCCAGATGGCCCTCCGGAGCACGGAGGTGTCTACTCCACTGTGCATGGCAATGGTGTTGTAGGTGAGGCTATAAGCTGCCTGGAACTTCTCATCCAACAGCTGCCCGCCCTCAGGGTAGAGCCGTTGGATCAGTGAATAGCCATGGTCTTCCCAGGTATAATCCTGAGAAACATGGGAAGGGGTCAGTGAGTAGAATCTTTGGGGCCCAAGGCTGGCCATAGGGACCCCATTCGCTGGAGCACAACTTCACTCTCTATAATGTCTCCTTCCCACCCCACAAATCTAACCTGCTGCTTGGTCTGGGCCTAAGAAGCCAAGGAAGATGCACCTTGGTGATGACCTTCTCCCTAGAATCAGGATCCCCTGAGCTTAGGGCGCAGACATGTCCTGTCATGATCTGGGGTCTCCCATTTCCCTCATCAAATCTTGAAGGAGCAGGTGCCCGACTCTCTAAGCACTCACACCATCTACCCCTTGCTTATTTGTAAATCCAGAGCAATGCCAAGAATAGTGTGGAGAGCCTACCTGGGCACGGAAGGTGGGGGGTGCCTGAGCCCCTCGCCGGGTAAAGTCCTCATATCCAAAAGTGGGGTCCTCCACAAAGCACAGCATGTCTGGGTGTGGAGAGGGCTCCAGGATGTCAGCTAAGTACGTCAGAAAGAGGTCAAAGTGAGGCCCAGGCACGGAGTACAGAGGCATCTACTGATTCATCAGTAGGTGGCCGGTGAATGCAGAGTGGAGGGCCAGAGAAAGCCCCTCGCTATGGCAGGAGGGGAGTCAGGCCCAGGGGCCTGGGGGATAAGGCCCCCAGTAAGAATACTAGTGATCCTGACAACAGTAGTTATTTGTGGAGCCCCTCACTCTGTGCTGAGAGCTTTGCTTCTGTTGTCCCATTTACCCTACAAACCAATCCTTCGCATGGGAGGAGACGGAGGCCCTGAGACAGGAAGGGACTTCTCAGTGGTCACACTGCCAGAAGAGCTGACAGGTCACGATTCAAATCCAGGTCTGACCCTAAAGTCCACTCTCAGAACCTCTTAGAAGGAGTGGTTGAGATGTGGCCTCCAAACACAAGAGGTGCTATGCAGAGTTGCCTACTCCCCAGGAGAGACGGTGTCAGAAGGGGGCAGCCCCTGGGACCTGGAGGCCTATGGTCCTCTACCTGAGGGAGCCACCAGAAGGCTCTCTGACTTCTCCAGCTCAAAGCGGCTCTCCATCTCCTCCTGGGATGCTCCCTCATCCCGTAACAGGCTCTCCTGCAGCTGCCTCATGCGCTCCATCAACGCTTCCACGTCTCGGGCAGCCTCGAAGCCCTGGAGGAGGGACCCAGTGGTGACCATTTACTCCCCGGCCCCAGGAAACCCCACACCCCTTTCCCACAAGCCAGGCCTTCCTGAGTGATGGCGAAGGCCTCCTGTGGCGGCCGCGGTGCTGGGCGGCTCGCAGGCTCTGTGCTTCCCAAAGTGAAGTTTAAGAAGCCACAGGACAGACATGTCTTCTCTGAGCATCAACTGCCCTCACAGGAAAGGGATGGTTAAAGTATCTGTAATTTCATATTAAAACACACAAGGCCCCCTTCTAAATAAGAAGCAAGCTTTGTATTTGTAAAGTGCTAACACCCGGGAGGCTTTAAGTCTGTGAGGCTGCATGCTGAGAGACCCCACACGGTTGTTTCATTTAATCCTCGCAACTGCCATGAAGTAGAGATCTTTAGCCCCATGTCACAGATGAGAAAATGGGAGTTTCAAAGCCAACTGAATTTTCTGAGGCCTCTCGGTGTGAGATAGGGAAGCGGTGGCTTCCATCCAAGGACCATGCCAGCTTCCTCTCCCAGCAAGACCCAGCCGCACGACTTACCCCAGAGTTGTTCATTGGGTCCCTGCTGGGGGGGCTGCTCTGCTCACTGGGGGGTGAAGGTGCCTGGGGGGCAGGGCTGCCCTCTGGGTCCCCCTCAGGGAGGATGCCGCAGCCAAACACAAAGGAGGCCAGCGAGTGGCAGTGGGTGAGCAGGACCAGGGCCTGGATGAGCTCCGCCAGAGACCAGCTGTGCTCGCCCGTCTTCAGCAAGGCCTGGAGAGGAAAGGAGGCCAGACTTGCTCAGTGCCTGACCCCGGGCTGACTGCCTGACATGTCCCGGCCCAGCCCCCGTGCTCCCTCTGGGACCTGCCTCTCTGCCCACCGCACCTGGATGTGCTCCTTGGTGATGAGCCACGGCCGGTGTGCCAGCAACTTGTTGATCTCGCTGAGCTTGCGCAGCTTCTCGGGGGCATGATGGAGACCGAGCAGCCACTCAGGGTCACCACCAGTCTGCAGAAACTCAGCCATGTGGCACCCCACCAGGTAGGAACACTGGTGGCGGGCGGCAGCCTATGGAGGGGGTGGACAGAACCTTGCTTGTGGATGGAGACATCACAGGCCTCACTATTGCCTGAGAGGCGGGAAACTTAGGTTCTAACCACAGTTCCACTAGTTTGCTGTCCTACCTTAGGCAGGTCACCTGACTCCTTTGTGCCTCAGTTTGCTAGTTCGTAAAGCAGGCACTAAAAATGCCTCTCTTCAGGGCACCTGGGTGGCTTAGTTGGTTGAGCATCCAACTTTGGCTCAGGTCACGATCTCACGGCCTGTGGGCTCGAGCCCCGCACTGTTGGTGCGGAACCTACTTAGGATTCTCGCTCTCTCCTCTGTCTCTCAGACCCTGCCCCACTCGTGCTTTCTCTCTCTTTCAAAATAAATGAATAAAAAAAAAATTAAAAAATAAATTAAAATGCCTGTCTTCAAAATCCAAAATTGTGTGGATGATCAGATAAAACTAGGGCTTTCCTCTGCTCAGGGCTGCCTCTTTCCTGTCCCATGAAATGAGTTCAGGAAGCACCCAGCAAAGAAATCGAAAGACCAAGTCCCCCCACGTGGCCACCCGTACAAGAGTTGGGCTCAGACAGGCTCACCATGATGGCAATGTAGTGGCGCCACGAGCTGGCCAGGGGCCCATCTGTGTGCAGCAGGAGGTAGTGTAGACGCCAAAAACTGCTAAGGTAGTCAGGGTGCAGGCCCATCACCACCGCCAGGTTGTCCACTCGCCCCAAGGACATCAATGCCTCCAGCCTCAGATGTTGCTCCAGGCTCTCTGCTCCCTCCCGAAGGACCTGCCAAGCAAAGGTGACCAGAGGGTGGGTTCCCCTCCTGCCCTCAACACTGAAGAGACCGAACACATTCACTGCGTTGGGACTGAGAAAACTAAAAATGACCACCATGTCCAAAAAAAGGAACACAGGGGAGGAAGGGATAATTCACTAAGTGATTTCCTTTCTCAAGGTTACAGATCTAGTAAATGACAGAACGTGGACTGAAATCCAGATTAGCAACAAAACCTATTTCTTTTCTCAGGACTGGTTATTGGGGCACCTGGCTGGCTCAGTCGGGGGGAGAGTGCAGCTCTTGGGGTTGGGGTTCAAGCCCCACGTGGAGTGTAGAGATTACTTACGTAAATAAAACTTAAAAAAAATGAAAGAGGACTGGTTATTTACAGATGAAAAAAGAAAACACAAGAACAATACTTGAGTTTAAAATTCTGGGCTAGACATAAATAATCAGCAGGTGGCTGTTTGCTTTCCATTTACAAAGGGTGGAGAGGGAAGGGGGGGGTGGTTAGATATTTGCCAGCTTAGGAAAGCAAAGAGGACGACAAAAGAAAACATTTGTTTTGTTCACCGAAGACCAAAGAAATAGGAGGAAACTTATTTTTACATTTTGCTGCGCAAGTGTTTTGAGGATAACCCCACTGTCACCAGCAGCCCCACACCAGAATGTCAGCTACAAGATGGCAAGGATTTTTGTCTGTCTTGGCCTCTGCTGTACCCTCAGCACCTACAACAGTGCCTGACATTTAGTCATTCAATAGGTATCTGTTAAATAAATGAATGAATGAGGAGCACCTGGGTGGGTCAGTCAGTTAAGTGTCCAACTCTTGGTTTCAGCTCAGGTCATAATCTCAGGGTTTGTGAATTTGAGACCCTCGTCTGGCCCTGCACTGGCAGTGTGGATGGAGCCTGCTTGGATCCTCTCTCTGCTCCCCACCTGCTCGCGCACACGCTCTCTTTCTCAATATAAATAAATCAGCTTTTAAAAATAAAAAAAATTAATGAGCGATCTGACTCTGTGGATTAAAGAAGTCTCTGTTGTAGTAAGTGAAAAAAATAAGGAACGTGACAATAACCTTGCCCCCACACCAAAGGATGTAAAGTATGACCTTGGTTCTATATGGGAAAAAAAAAAAAAGGCCCAGAAAACAGTGATAAATGGTTAACAGTGATTATCTCTTTGGGAGATGGGATTACGGGAGACCAAAGCTTTCTGAAACATAAAAAGGCTTTCCATAAGGAACAAAATAATACTTTTGAAGTTGAAAAAAAAGTAAATATGTATAGTCAAGGAAGAGCAGTTAGCATAGACAGTTCTAGCTTCTTAAGGCAAAAAGTCCTTTTTCTGGGAATCAAAAGTTTATTACCTAGCAGTGTCATTATCACTTTATCTCTTTGAGCCTGTTTCTTCCTAGCAACATGGGGTTGTGATATGCATGCTCCATAGAGTTCTTTGTGGGTTAAATGAGTCAGGAACCTGAAAGGGTAGTTTCAAAGCTGCTATTTCAAGAGCCGGGCAGAGATACCCCCCCTACTCCCCACCCCCACACACAAGGTCCCATGTCCATTCTTCCCAGGGATCAAGAATTCCTAACCCCTTCCAAACTTACCTCCTCCACTGGGATGAAGGCGCTGGGCCCTCGGGGACCTCGCCGAGTCCGACTTCCCCTCTGCTCCTAGAAGGAAATACATCATGGCTGTTGGAGGTAAAAGAGAGGACTAGGAGCATAGTTCACTCTCCATCTTTTTCTTCCTACCCAAGAAGCCACACTGTGCTTTTCAAACCACCCTTTTGGTGCACCCTACACAGAGGACTCAGGTGGGAGACGCACACCTGTTGGCAGGTGGAGAAAGGGTAAGCAAAAAAGAGGGCTTGCCCCACAGGGTGACTTCTTCAGGAACTGGGCAGGGACCCAGGAGCCCCAGTATTGGGTGGGAGGTGCGTGGGGAATGGAGATATATAGCCACCATGGTGCACATCTCTAGGAGGCCACCTTTTTAGCAGCCTTGGAGATTCCATACAAGAAACCCCCTCATTTGCATCCTGAAGCCGAATTACCAAGTACCTTAGATTCCCTATGATGCAGACTCAGTTATTCTCAAACGCTCCCTTCTCATCCTTCCCACCATCACCACTTCATAGACTACAACCATCCCTTGTCTGGATCACCACCCACAGCCTCGCCGATGGTCTCCCTGACTCTGTGGCCCTGCCCTCTCCTACCCATCCTCTACCAAATTAACAAAGGGAACGAGTAAAGAAAACATCTTCCCTGAACTATACCTCTGGAACTAGGAGCACATTGAACGAGTCCACGACATGGTGGTTTCCAGGAGGGCGAACCTTCCGCAGCCAAAGGAAATTTTTCTAAGTGCAAATCTCATCAGCTGGCTTAAAACCCTGACTCCAGCTCCCATTAGCCTTCCAGATAAATTAGTGGTTTAGGTCCCCTGCTCTCCCACTGGTCACTCCTTTTGCACAACTAAGAGTCTTCCAGGTCTGGGAACCTTCTGATGACCCTTATCTGTGACCCCACCATTCCTAGTGCTTTTGGTTCTGAAACCATTGTCTTCTAATTGTCTGATTCAGGTCTCCCTGATACCAGATCACATTCTGCGGAAGGCAGGGCCAGGTCATTCATACTAATCTGTGAAGGAAGAAAACAGAGAAAGCAGAGAGGCATGGAGGGAATCCAGGCAGGGCATAGAAAGCTGACGGTAGCAGCTATTCTGACCTCATGTACTGGAGACTCTTTAGAAACCATAGGAGTCATATACTCACTAAATCTCCTCCTAGTCTGAGAGGTGGGGTTCAGAGAGGATGTTTTATTTACTCATTTGTTTTGATAACTGGGAGGGAGGCTCTTCTCGGTACCGGCCTTGGAAACAGTTTACCCAAACCAGAGTCATGCCCTCACTGGACAGAGAGGGCGTCCCCCTAACTCTCCCTCCTCATTGGAAACCGGACTTAATATCAATCCCCAGGTGTCCAGGGAGTAAAGATTATAATTGAAACTTCCTCCTCAGATGGTCAAAAGCCTCTTGAGGGAAGCAGAACTCTGGGGCTCTGAAAGCCCACACAGAAAGAACAGTGGGATCTGGAAGTCCCAGGTCTGAGTACCAGTTCTGTTACTAACTTGCTGTGTGACTCTGAGAAGGTGACTTAGACTCTCTGGGCCTTAATCTTGGACAAAAAAGGTAGTTGGGCTAATGTCTCGGGGCCCTTGCAGCCCACACTTCTGGGAGATACCAGGCGAGGCTGGTCCAAGTCCAGTACAGAAAATTACCACAATCTCCAAGTACTCACTTTTAATCTCCCTCCTCCCTCACCAAAGGAAAAAAGCCTAACAGCTAGGTCTAGGAGATAAGGACTGCTGACTCCACAATCTGGGCCTCCCCCTCAGGGGACCAGAGGGCAGATAGAAAACCATAGGTGGGGGGACCTGGAGGGCTTCCCCCCGCCTCCCCTGGGGAGGAACAGCCTTAGGAACCCTTTCTCTCTCCAAAATCTGCCCCAGGAGCTGTCAAGGGAAGGAACTGATACCTTTAGGTGATAGGTCTGGACCCACCAATATTTTCATTCCTAATTATGATGATGGTGACACCATGATGATAATTATAGAGTACAGTTAAACGATAGGGGCTCTTGACCCAAACTGCCTGGGATCATATGACAACTCCACCACCTATTATCTATCTGCTAGCAGTGTGAGCCTCAGTTTCCTCACCAAATAATGGAGATAATAGTACCCACTTTCACTGGGTAGTCATGAGGATTTAATGAGATAATACCTCTACAGCCCTTACCCCTTACCTCAGGAAGTACCTCTATGGCACTAAACACTTAATACAAGTCAGCTACCGTTAATCTCATTGTAATTTCAAGCAAGGGCTTCTCAACCCAAGCAGTATAAAATCCCGTTTAAAAAGATGCCAATATCAAGGTCCCACCTCCGATTCTAATTTAATTGGGTGGGGCCCAGCATAATTTACAGCTGGGGTGGAAGGCCATTGGTTCACACCATTTATTGATCATTTTCTCAAGTATAAGGCACTGTGCTAAATGCTTTCCAGGTGGAATCAGAGTTAATCTGTTCACTCGACAAATATTTCTGATGACTACAATGCAGGCAACAAGAGAACAGGGGTGAAAAGACAGTCTCAGCCTTCACAGAATTCATGATCTAAAGGAGAATGACAAACAGCGAACAGGCTTTCAAATCGCAGATTATACAAAGTAAATGAAAAAGATCAATGAGGAAGTGTATGATGGGGTGGGAGTATGCAATATATTAGTTTAAGGAGACAGGGAGAGCTACTGAAGAGGGAACCTTTGAGTTGCTATCTAAATATCAAATATCTAAATGAGTTGATGAGAAGGCAGTAGGGCCCATAAAGATCTAGGGGATCAGCATTCCAGCCAAAGGGAACAGAAAATACAAAGTCCTGAAGGCAAGACCAAGTAGATTCCAGTCCAGAGCTCCAATACCCTGAAAGTTTCTCTGACCTTGACACCCAGAACTTCAGGGGAAGCAGACAGGGCAGGGTCCTCCTGCCAAGAGATGATGCCTCCAAATCAGCCCTCCCCTATTTCCTGGGGTAGGAATCAGTAAGGATGGTAGTAACAACACTGATTACCATCAGCTAAGCATTTTACATGCATTTAGGGTAGGATCTACTACTACTCTGAGGGTTCGCATGTTACAGACACGGAATAAGGCTCAGAGAGGTCAAGTCAGGGTTTGCACTCGGGGTTCACCAGAAGCTTCTCCTCCCTGCCCACATTCCGAGGGATCCACTTTTCCCAGTCACAGCACCTGTCATACTGTGTTGTTTCTTACTTTGAGGGCACACACTAGATCCGGCTCCCTGTTACCCCAGTGACACTGAAGTCCCTCTGGGTGGGCCCTGAACAGGCAGGCAAATTGTGAAGAGGGTCACCCCGCCCAGCTCAATGCCTGGCTCCTAATTTAAGCACTCACTAAATGTTAATTTCTAGAGTAGCTCAGGCATTTGCACACAGGTACTATATAATCTTCATCAGTTTTGGGGGTGGAGGTCTCTACGTTGCCCACAAAGAAAGATCAAGGTTCCAAAGGTTAAGCACCGGCTGACGAGTGGCCAGCCTAGGATGTGTGCTCAGTTCACTTTGGCTTCTAAGGGTTCTGTCCATCACCCACATCAGCCTCTTGGAGTAGGCCCAGCCTTATTCTTGGTCTTCTATCCAGAGCCTGCAACCCCCAGGACTCAGCTACAGATACCTATGAAGTCACTCTACCAGCTGGGAAGGGAAGAGATTCGCCCCCAACAACACCCCATGGGCAGCTGCCTGCAGAACTCGGATCCTTGTCTGGGTTTACACATGGGAGGGAGACCAAGAGCTCAAGCAGCTTCTTCCCTCCAGCCTTGGAAGGAGGCTGGTGTGAGTGGCGCCATGGGCTGGGCACTAGGCTAAGTGCTTTATACATCTGATCTGGCTGATTTCTCACAACTACCCTGAGGGAAATAGGTCTTATTATTCCTTCTTCAGAGACAGCTCATTGAGGCTCTTTCGGAGTCCTGTTCCAGACGGGCTCAGATCTGGCTTCAAAGCATGCACAGTTCTCAAGTGTCAGCTGAGCCAACAAGGGGCCAAGAGTTACAAGCGCTTCTCAGGTGCTAAGAACAGTGCTAGGGATGTGACCTCAGAGTGTCTCTAGTCCAGCAAAGTTGACACACAAAACGCCCGATTACAGGACTGTTACATTATGGATAGCATTAAAGCTCCAACAACAGAGAAGCAGGCCTGAAGGAGGGCATGCAGAAGGGACTTATGGGGGGTGGGGGGAGGGAAAGCTTCCCAGAGGAAGTGATGTTTGAGGAAGTGATTCTAGAGCCCAAGAGGGCTCTGAAAACACACTACCAGTCCTAGAGTGAAGTCCTAGAGTCTGTAGACCTTGACCCCTTTAGGTTAAGGGCGTGTGGTGAAAAGATGAGAGTCGAGGGGACTGTACATGTGGGTCTTCCCTTGGGCCCAGGGCACCAGGCTCTGTAAGTCCAGTCGCCCTGCTGTCTTCTAAGGATTCTGCTTAAAGTAGACATCTTCCCAAGGTCTTCTTTTCTTGAGAGAGAGAAAAAAAGTGTGTGGAAAGGGTTCAGATATCAACATCTTTCTCCTGCTGCTGACAGTGGCTTCCATCTAAAGGCCACTCCCTCAGAGCCTGCCCAGACCACCCGAGGCACTCTCTTCTCCCCAGGCCACTTCCCAGGCACTCAGAGAGGGATGGGCCGGCTCTCACCTCAGGCAGGAGGGACAGGTTCAGGCACCCCATGTGACACACTCTGGGGAAAGGGAAATGACCACATTCTAACAATACCAAGCATATCTGACTCAGTTCCAGGCTCTGTGCTTCAGCCTTTGCTTGTATTCTGTCATTTCTCCCAACAATCCTCAGGGATACTATCAAATTTCCATGGGAAGAAGTGGCAGATCAGAGTTGTGATCACTTGGCTATGGTCACACAGCCAGCAATGGGAACGCTGGGACTGGAACCCAGCACCCCTCTAGTGGCTAGATGCTCTCAATAATAACAAGAAATCCAGCTCCCACCCTCCAAGAAAGAAATGGACCAAGGGTAAAGTAACTTGGCCAAAGCCACTCAGCAGAGAAGTGACAGGCGTGCGTTTCATTCCTCCACATTGGGGCTCCTAAACTCTGGTGGGGAAGGATAAACAAGCCCACAGAAGACCCAGGACGCAAACCATCCACTGCTGGAGGTGGGACCCCTAGAAACCATGCTGCTCAGAGAAGGGCAACGATTTCTCCAGGGTCACACAGGACTGGCACTTGTCAAGACTCCCAGCCCCAGCAATACACTTGCACCACACTCCAGGCCTGGAAATAAAAACAAGCAAAACTATGTAGTGGCAAGCACACCAGGGAATCCTAGAGGCACCCAGGCCAAAGAATGAGCTACTTGGTGGCGGTGAGTGAAGGGAAGTCTCTCCGTAGCCCTTCCTGGGCCTCAATTTCCTCATCCTGGAAAATGGGGCTACAGTGTAGCTCATATTTTGCTAGTTTAGTCCTGAGGACTCGGAGAAAAGGCAAAACCTGGAGACCAGAATCTAGTAGGGGTTTAAGAAATGATTAGATGTCCATTGTCGTCGGGGGTGGTGGTGATGGGTGTGGGGAGGGAACAGGAGGTGTGTCAGGGTAGGCCCAGGCTATTGCTAGCTTCACCGCAAAGAGTCCCGGCCAAGCAAACTTCTGGGACCCGAGACCAGTCAGCAGGGCGCAGGCTAATCGCCGCCCGCCTTCGGGAGCCGCGTCCAGGATTTCTCCCCTTCTCCCCCAGCTTTGGCCGCCGCCGCCGCGTACCCGGCAGCTGGCCAAGGCCCTGGAGCGCCCGCTCTCCCCCGCTTCCTATCGGGGGTGCAGGTGTGGGCGGGGGACGAGGTCGACCTCCGTTGGCAAGTCCCAGGTGCCCCAATCCCCGCACTGGGAGACTGGCACTGGGACGTATCCTAGAAAGAGTCCTCCGCCCGCCAGCCCCAGCCCAGAGGAAGGGAATCTGCGGAAGGGGGCGGGGAGGAGGAGTGGTCGGTCGAGCCGCGGCTGCCGGGATTTGCCTGGACTTGAAGATTCTCCGGTCGAGAGCCCAAACCCGAGATAACCTCGAGAAGGCTCCCCTCTCATTGGCCAGGAGTCCTAGGGAGCCAGGGAAGGTTCCACAACCCGGGGGGAGGGAGCGGAGGGGGCCGAGACTGCCAGTTGATGCAACCCCATTCCTAGGTTACGCGCCTCCACTCCCCCTCCCCGAGCCGGGGCGGGGGGAGGGGGGCAAGCACAGACTCAGCCCGGGACAGCCCGAAGCCCGGCCGCGGCTCGGGGCTCAAGGGAAGAGTGGCGTCGCTCGAGCGCTGCTTACCTCTCCGGCCCCGGGGCCGCCGCCGCCGCCGCCGCCCGGGGAGAATGGCAGGTAGCCCTTCAGCTGCGCGCCGCACTCGGAGTCTGCAACGATCATGCTGTGTGCCAGGATCCGGCCACGGCTCGCCGGCGACCGGTGCACCCGAGGGGGTTTTGTACAGACGCACGCAGGAAGCTGGGACTGGGGGCCGCTGGGGAGGTTCTAGAGCCCCGGGATGTCTCTCGGGGTTCCAGACGCTCCGAAAGCCCAGAATCAGGGAACAGCCGCTGCTCCGCTGGACTCTCGCCCCGGCCGGCTTCAGGAACGGTGAATGGCCTCAGGAACCTGGGATTGGCAGCGGCCCAGGGGTTTTTACGGCCCGGAGTACCTCGGAAGTCCGCAGTGGCCACGGCTGCTCGCCAGCCCAGCGCTCCTCAGCATCCCCGCCGCGGAACTGCCAACGCTCGCCGGGCTCTGATACCAGCAGCGCCGCTCAGCCCGCTGCGGTCCTCGGGGGAGGGCGGGGACACAAAAGCCCGCGCCGCGGCCAATCAGATGCCTGTTTCCCGGGGAGGCGAGGACGACACCTCCCCTTGGAGCCTACTGCTCGGCCAATCGGCACCGGGAAGCGCCGGGGAACTCTGGGAGCTGTAGTCAACCCGGGATGAATGCTGCAAACTTTCGCAAAAGGGTTTAATCAGATCGTTGGCAATTTCAGACGAGAGTGACTGCCAAGAGAGTCATTAGAGCTGTGTGATGAAACGGGACTTCACCGGGCTGGGCCGGAGAGTCGGGTGTGAAGTCCCTCCCAAGTATGTTCCTTAGTTTTTCAGTTCCTGCAGGGACTGGTTACGGTTAGGAGAGGTGGTGCTAATTACAGAGCCAAACCCCAAATCTTTGGAGATTAGAACAGAGCCCTGTCCCCCTGGCCTCCGGGAGAGCTCCACCGTAAAATGTACCAGGCACGGGAATGCATCGTATTTGTGGGGTCCCTGGAAAAGCCTTCATTCATTGAAAGGTCCTTGGTAACCTCATGTCTAACCTCAGTCCCTATTGCTGCAGTTTCCTCTCTTCTGCTTCCTCGGGGCCTCCAGTCCTGTCTTCCATTCCGGCCACTCCCTTTCTAGAAACTTTGAGGTAAGGTGTTCTACTGGGTCTCTTCTCACATCTCTCTCTCTGGCCACTCCTTCTCTGACTCCTCTTTTTCCTTCCACCCCCTGGAACGTGGGTGTTCCCCGGTTTCTGTTTTTATCCCTCCTCTGTCCAGACACACTCTTTCTGATCTCATCCATTTCCTGGACTGCAATGCTCCATTTGGGAATAAGTTGCTTCTACCAGCACTTCAGCACCTCAAAGGTGAATTCATCTCCTGTTCCTTCCCACAGCCTCTTCCTTGACAGTTTTTCTTTAGAACTCCATTTTTTGTTTCCATCTTGAAGTCATTGTTTACTCTGGATAGAGAATCCTGGCAGGAGCAGGAGCAAGGGTGGACTAGATGACCTCCAAGGTCCCCTCTGAGACCTTATGAGAGTAGGCTTACCACTCCAAGGATGACTCTCTAATTTGGTCTCCTGCCTCCAGCCTCTTGGAAGAAGGAAATGAATTTCACCCTCTGCTGAGCAACCAAGGAGGCACTTGGACCGGGGCTCTATTATAACACTTACCCCACTCTACTTTGTATTGTAATTTTCTGTGTACGTGTCTTTTTATTAATGTTTATTTATTTTTGAGACAGAGAAAGAGGAGAGGGACAGGCAGAGATAGAGGAAGAGAGAGAATCCCAAGCAGGCTCCACGCTGTCAGTGAAGAGCCCCATGAAGGACTCCAACTCACGAACCCTGAGATCATGATCTGAGCTGAAATCTAGAGATGGAGGTTTAAGGACTGAGCCACCCAGGCACCACTACATGCATGTCTTATCTGACCTTTTTGATTATAAACTCTTTGAGGGCAGGGCCCGTGTCTTGAAATCTTTGTCTCTGCCTTGTGCCACCTGTCCTGCCAATAATATGCCCTTGTGACTGAATCTTTCTTTGAATTGAATTCCCCTGTAAATTCCCATATGTCAGATTCAGTTTCATTTTTATTTTTTTAATGTTTGTTTGTTTGTTTATTTATTTTGAGAGAGAGAGAGAGAGAGAGAGAGAGGCAGAGAGAGAGGGAGAGAAAGAATCCCAAGCAGGCTTCACGCTCAGCTTGCGGAGCCCAATGCAGGGTTCGATCTCACAAACCATGAGATCATGACTTGCCCCAAATCAAGAGTCCTGCACTCAACCAACTGAGCCACCCAGGTGCCCCTCAGCTTTCATTTTTAAAATCTACTCTGTAGTTAGTGTCAGTGTTTAGATCAAAAAATGTTACTGGTATGTCATCAACTAAGAATAAAGGTCAAACCTCTAGACTGACAGTATCTGCCAAGATCTGCCTCATTCTACCTTTCCAGTCTTATCACCTACCACATCCATGTTTCTTGTTTGGCCTTCAAACCTTTCTTCCAGTGGTTCTGTCTGCAAATCTCTGCCCACTGAAATCCTACCCAACATGCAATGCTTTCATGCGTGTTTGTGGCCTGAATGAAGCCTTCAAAAATGCCACTTCCTACAGAAAGGGTTGCTTTTTCAGCTCAGCTGAAAATAATCTCTTCCACTCCTCCACTCCTCAACACATTGTTTCTACCTCTTTATACCACTGATCTTTAAATGTGATGCAGCCTTGTTATCATCTCTGCTTATCTTACCCATTCCTTTCAGCTAACAATGGAATATGTGATTGATCACTTCTGCAAAGTGAGGAAACTTGAGCTCAGAAGGTAAAATTTCATGTCAAGGTCATACAGTATCTTCTTTTGACTGCACCAGGCTGTCGAAGAGCTCCTTTGAGGCAGTGTCTAATTGCCTTTGTATCCCCCACCAACATGTAGTAGGTCCTCAGCAAATGTTTTTGAATGAATAAATATGAGTTACCCTCCTCTGTAAAATAATCCCTTAGGATCTTCAAGGAAACGACTAAATTATTCGCAAGGCTTCACTTGCAAAGTTAGTAATTTTGTGAAAAGAAAAAGCAAAAGATACAAATATTCTCAATTTGATGAGCTTTTGTGACTCAGTCTCTGAGGAAGGAAAGCTGAGGAGAGACACAGCTACTGCCATTTACTGAGCTCAAACAATAGTCCAGGTTATGTCTATTATTTCATGTAACTCTGACTACAACCTGGTGAGGTATGGATTATGCCCCCATTTGGCAGATGAGGGTCAAGAGGTTTGTTGGCCAAGATAGCTTAGTAATGTGTTGAGTAAGGATTTCAAACCCAGGCAGGAATGACTCCAAAGCAGAAACTACATACACCATGGATGAGAGAAGGACATGAATTGTAAGAAGCAGTCTGGCATAAGGAAGTAATGCGTAGAGTAGAATTATAATATATTAATTGGGAGTGAGGAATATAATTGTCAAGTGGCCTGTAATTGGTGGGCCAGCACATCCCTCTTTATAGGACAGTCTCCGTGAAAAGCCAAGTTGTCATTTGAAGGTGGCTAGGGCAGTTGAAGTCTAAGCAAAAGAAACCAGTGAAAGATGAATTGTTGAACCAGCTCCACTCAGATCAAACCTGCTGGTCAGGGCTCCCACTTCTTCCCTCTCTCTTTTATTTAGTAAATATTTATTAACCATTTAGTGTGTACCAAGCACTATCCTGGGCTCTGAAAAATCCAGCAGTGAAGCTTCTTGCCCAGCACGGCATGGCCTGGTGACACAGGATGGGCTTATTCCTCCCCACCCCCACACCTTGTATTTTCGGTTCGGTAAAGATCTCCACCTCCTGTTGCCATACTCACTCGACTCTTGCATCAGCTATGTTGAGGCCACTGATTGGCCAAAGCTTTTTTTATTCTTCAATCACGTTCCAGCCCTGAAGATACATCTAGATTGGATTTGAAATGTTTTTGAGGTTTCTTTAGCTTCAGACCCTCTCACAGATTTTAACCCTAATGGGATTCTCTTCTGTTCTGTATTCATTCTTTCTGAATTAATTTTCTAATCCCAAATTCTGGAATCACTCTGCTATAATAACCTTGTACCCTGACCATTATCTGGGGCTGTGATTTATCACCCCAGAGGTACTTTTCTGTGCTCTTTTTATTATTTTCATGCACACCCCCTCCCAGCTCAGAATACAATTCCTGCCTTGGGGGAGCTTTTAGGGAAGAAACCTAACTCTAACCGATTTGATAAAACCAAAAGCAGACCCACCCTCCAAGGCTTATTCACACATTCGTCCATTTAATTACTCATTAAGCAGGCATTGTGCTAGGTGCCCAGGAAGAACCTTCTGGCTCACAGGTCGTGAGCTGCCAAGCCTTACAGCAAAATTGAAGTTGTGCCCTGGAGTTGTGCTTTAGGGGTAGGACAACCATAGACTCTAAGAAACAAAGCCAACTATCTCCTAAGACCACTGCCCAGGAGTCAGGCACCTGGATGCTAGCTTTTAGCCATGTGACCCAAAGTGATTTTTTTTTTTTTTTTTTTTTTTTAGCTTTTAGGATTTGTTTCTTCATCTGTAAAACAAAGGAACTGAAATGAGCTCTAAACCTTCAGAGCCGCCGTATAGGGATTTGGGCTAGGCGTATAATTCAGTTTCGTCAATTGTATACTGCGGACAGAAACGTCCAGGTTTCAAAAGCCTCACCCCTCTTAGTAAATAAAATACAAAAACTGACCAGCTGGGTTCTTTTGGATAATTCATTAAGAATTTCAGTTTGGTTTTGACGGCTGAGCGAGCCCTCAGCGCCCCCTGCAGGCAAGACTCTGCTACAGTTCAGAAAGGACGGAGGGAAGAAAGTTTAGAGGGCCACCTCTAAACCATTTTGAGTTTACAGGATTGTCCAGTCCCATGTCACCGCCTGAAGGTCCCGAAAAGAGTCCAGGCAACAGCTAAAGATTGTGTGGTTGCTGAGGATTCTCCGATGCCAGCATGGACCATACTCCCAAAGACTCCCTACCTGAATGTAGTTCCCCCTGTTTTGGCTTACTCTCATCTTACAGACAGGAAGCCTGCGGGCCCACAGAAAGTTGGTCACAGAGCAGAGACTACAACCTTAGTTCAGGCCCCCACTGCAGGGTCACTTGCATCATTGTAGGCTGCCCCGGGAGCCTCACATTTCCAGGAAAACAACTGGCTTTTCTCTGTTCTCTTTCCCCTCCCTCTCTCCACTCCTAGAAGCTCTACACATCCCATTGTCCATTTTCAGTCACCCCGAGGCCTGTGCTTGGAGTAATGTTTCCAGCATCTTGCCACCATCCCGTCCCATCTCTTCCTACTGAAAGAGTCTGTACCCACTCCGTCCCAAAATCAGTTGGACGTGGACTCAGGATATCGGAGTTCAAGTTTCCAGTTCTAACCCTTTCCAGCTGTGTGAACCTAGGCAAGTCACGTCACTTCTCTGAAACTCAGTTTCCTGCTGTGTAAAATGGGGCAATCAAGTTTACCTCCACAGGGGCTGCTGTGGGGACGT